AAAAAAAAAAACCAGTCCTACCATGATTTGTCTTCAGTAAAAATGGGAAACTGGAGAGAGAAAAATTGTGTTTCAAAACTTCAGTAGACCTGTTGTTAGATTCTAGTCTTGCCTAATTTTTTTTAATTTATAATATTCTCTACAGTTCAGACTGAATTCCAATTTTTCTTGGCTACAAGTCTTCAAAATAATGCTTTCAATTTTTTTCCTTCTTTTTTCCGTTTTTCCTAATTCGGAGTCACTGAACACTAAGCTGTGCTTTCTTAAGACCCTGTGAACTGAAGCCAGACAACTTGAACTTCAGAAGAAAATAACAGCAAACTATTTACATACATAAGCCACTTTCATAGCTGCCTACTAATGTATGGACTTCAGAGTAATGTGGCCAATACCGATTTTTCTAGGATTATTCTTTTATTTTTTCTCTCTTCCTCCCTGCTATTTTCTCTTCACAGGACATGAAACTTCACAACCTGCTAAAAATGAGCTTTTGGGACTACCCAGCTAGGAATAAACTGTCCTAGCCATGAGAGATCAGATGAAACCTGAGACCAGAGACTCGTTTTCTTGTAAAATGCTTTCTCCAAAAGATTTTTAAAAAGGAAAAGGGGGAAATGTGAAAGGAAAATATCTTGGGCCCCCAAAATTACTAAGGAAAACTCAAGCTGGAAACCGCTTAGGGCAAACCTGCCTCCCATTTTATTCAAGGTCACTCCTCTGCTCACTGAGATAGATGCATATCTGACTTACCTCCTTTGGAAAGGCTGATCAGAAACTCAAAAGAGTGTAACTATTTGTGTGTCACCTATCTGTGACCTGGAAGCTCCCTCCCTGCTTCCTGCCTTTAGTTCAAGTTGTCCTGCTTTTTCAGACTGAACCAATATACTTCTTAACTACATTGATTGATGTCTCATGTCTTCCCAAATGTATGAAAGCAACCTTTACCCTGACCACTGTGGGCACGTGTCACCAGGACTTCCTGAGGCTGTGTCATGGCACATCCTCAACTTTGGCAAAATAAACTTTCTAAATTAACTGAGACCTGTCTCAGATTTTCTGGGTTCACAAAAGCAATTAAAATCGTGAGAGAAAGAATATGACATTTTGAGGATAGATCCAAGAAGTTTAGTATATTATATTGGGAGATCCAGATGGGGAAAAAGGCACATAGAAGGAAAGGCAACATAAGAAAGGAGAAACATTTTTGGACAAAGAAATACTTGAATCTACAGATTGAATGGATTCACCAAGTTCCAGGCTTGATTGATAAATTCACACATACACACACCCTTAGCAATACCCTGGAAAGATTCTGGAACTCCAAGGAAAAAAAGAAGTCTTTACAAACTTTTCCACTCAGAAAAAATAAATTGCCTTATTAATTATAATGCAAATCGAATCAGACCTCTTGTGCATCAGCAGCAGCTGGAAGTTAGTGGAATATCTGCAGACTTCTGAAATGCATGGACTCCAACTCAAGAATTTATTGACCAACCAAAGAATCATTTAGTTGTCAGAGTGATAGGAAGAAATTATTTGTAGGTATGTAAGAAGTCAAAGACTAATGCCTACATTTTCCCACCTTAAGAAAATACTTAAGAAGTGACTCTAGCCAGGTGATAGATTAACCATAAGAGAAACTACAAGATGATAAAGAAGGGAAGAAATGGTAGTGATACAGGAGCTGAAAAGAAATTATTTAGGCAGTTAGTGAGGGTAAGAGAGTCCTCGGTGAGGCTTCACTCAAAACCATTTCTTTTCTAACAAACAGCAGCCAGTAAAATCGAGCTGCAGACATAGATAAACAAGCTGGAAGCTTGCACAGGTGAATGATGGCAGCTGTGTCAATAGGAAAAGGCTACCTGGGGGCCAGGCATGTTCAACATGGAAGCTCCATCTTCCATTTTCTTTGTCACCACATGTGCAGTAAAGAAACAGGGAACATGGTGCCAGCTAGGTAGAAAACTCATTTGCATAATAAAAGATTAGGGTGCAGTGGCCAGCCTCTTTGGATGCTATGCAAATGGCACACTGGTCCAACCAATTCTCTGCACCCTATGTACATCAGACACCACCTTCTCAAGCCCATCTGTAAAACCAGCCGCGTCTTGCCAGGTACCAGGAGATCCATTTGGAACCCCCTCCCGCTGCACAAGGGAGCTTTTCTCTTTTGCCTATTAAACTTTCACTCTTAAACTCACTCCTTGTTAGTCTGTTTCCTTGATTTCTTTGGTGTGAGGCAATGAACCTCGAGTATTACCCCAGACAAACAACACTGCTTCAGTAGTGAGCAACAAAATGTAGAACAAATAAGTCAATATAAAGACATATATAGATGAAATGTGTCTAGATAATCACAGACTGAGAATGTATAAGTGCAGATATGAAACAACATAATAGCTAAATATATGAAGCAAAACCTGTAAGAAATACAAGAAAAATTTGATTAAATAAAATTATATTGGAAAACTTAAATTTTTTTTTCAGAATTGGATAAATTTGGTATATAGCAAATGTGGGATGGCATAGGAATTAAATAATACAATTAATAAATGATGTGGTATCTATGTGTAAGATCTAACATCCCTCGAACAACAAGAAAACATGTTTTCGTACCGATAGAATATTTACAAAAGTCAGTCATATTTGACCAAGAAGAAAACCTTAACAGACTCTAAAAACCACATTCCTTGATTTCAAGCCAACAGATTGAAAACAAATATGTAAAGATAGCAAGAAACCATACACAGAAAAAAATGTTGTAAGTTATAAAATATCTATAGAGCAACAAAAAAGAGAAGACTTTTTACCAAAATCCAAATGACACAGTGGAAATTACTCAGAAGAAAATGTGTACCTTAATGTTTTCATAAAATAATATAAAAATAATGTTAGATTTCATTTCAAGAAATTTTAAAAAAAGAGCAACAAAGTCAATTTTTAAAAATTAGAAAGACGGCTGGGCACAGTGGCTCATGCCTGTAATCCCAGCACTTTGAGAGGCCGAGGTGGGCAGATTACGAGGTGAAGAGTTTGAGGCCACCCTGGCCAACATGGTGAAACTCCATCTCTACTAAAAAAAAAAATACAAAAATTAGCTGGGCATGGTGGCGGGCGCCTGCAGTCCCAGCTACTCTGGAGGCTGAGGCAGAAGAATCACTTGAACCTGGGACGCGCAGGTTGCAGTGAGCCGAGATCGTGCCACTGCACTCCAGCCTGGGCGACAGTGAGACTCTGTCTCAAAAAAAAAATAAAAATAAAAATAAAAATTAGAGGATTTATAAAGACAAAAGCTAAAATTAATTTAATAGAAAACAGTAGAATGGACAAATAAATACAAAATCCTTTGCAAAAGATGAAAAAGATCTATTCTGATTAAGAAAAAAGACTGAGCAAAAGGAATAAAATTAAGAATTCTGTAGAAAACTACAAATGAGGAGAAATTAAAATTATAATAAGAGAAACCCATGGCAACAAACTGGAATCCTAAAGAAAATAGCTGATTTCCTAGTAAAAATACAAATTACCAAAATTGACTCTGAAATAAGGATGGTATAAATAGATCAATTAGCACAGAAAAGTTTGGAATTGTCCTTAAAAGTCTTGCATTGGGAAAGATCCCACGATTACGTGGGTTCACAGCTGAGTGTTAGTTGACTTTTTACTGAATTCTTTTTTTCTTGGTTTTTAAAAGGCTTTACTGGGGAAACGTACAGTGGTGAAGACCGTCCTTGGAGGCCCCAGGACGCCATCCTCCATGTTGCTGGGCAGTCGAAGTCCCCCGGGGCTCCTGCTCAGAAGCGTGTCACCAGTCTCTGCGGGGGCCTAGTCTGTGACTCCTGAAGGGGCCCATCCAGGGTAGCCACTACCCCCCATTCCTTGCTGCTGCTGCTCCTGTTCCAGGTTCCACTGCAGGACCTGCGCTGGTTGGCAATGACTTGCAGTATGCCATTGAGGAAGTTGCCCTGGGGGATGAGGCCGATGAAGATTTTCTTCTCAGAGGAGTACAGGAGCATGAGCACACGGATCTCGCACGATACTTTGTAGGAAAAGTGCACTCACCCGGCGAAGCCATTGTCCATGATCTGGCACAGGCTCTTAAGCGTCTCCAGGTCCTTGGTGAAGTGGAAGTGCACCAGGCTCTAGTTCTGCAACAGCAGCACCAGGGTGGTCAGCAGCTGCTGTGGAATGAGCTGCATGTACAGCTTCCTCGGCCACTGCTCGGTCCTCAGGATCTCCCCTGGTTCACGTAGACGTGGGACCGCAGCCACCTCTTGGACCGACTGTTGGGAGCAGGCCTGGGTTCCTGCCACTCCATGACGCTGCTCCACGCCAGGAACTTCTTGTTGACTGGGCCTGAGTTGACACCACCAGGTCCCACTGCCTGCTTGTGGGTAGTGATGACCTGCTGGATGGCGCTGACGAAGCCGCTCTGGTCGTAGGGGATGAAGCCCATGAAGATCTTCGTCCTGGAAGAGTACAGGAACATGAGCACGCACATCTTGCAGGGGGAGATGTGGGGAAACGACATGCAGCCCGCGAAGCCGTTGCTCATGATGCGGCAGAGCCTGTTGAGCAAGCAACAGGGGTCTCAGCGTGGCCATCAGCTTCAGCGGGATCAGCTGCATGATCAGCTTCAGCTGCCACTGGTTGGTCTCCAGGTTCACATAGGCTTGGCAGAGCAGGGCGCGCTTCAACTTTACAGTGGAGTCGGAGTAGAGTCTGCGCTTCTCCTGTCACTCGAGGACGCCGCTCCAGGCCAGCAGCTTGTTGCTGAGCCGGTGCTCACTCACGGTCAGACCCCTGAGGGTGAGCCCAGGTGAGGAGGGACCGGTGGCACCCAGCGCCCCGAAGACGCGAGCACTTTTCATGGGAGGGGCCGAGCAGGCCCGGGGCTGCAGAGGCTGCGGG